TGTATATATATATATATATATGAAGATTTGTAATATTTTAATTTGGATGTTAATTATTAACGTTTTTTTTTATCGTCAAAAGTTATTATTATTATTTCCTTATTATCCAAGATTTTATTTATTATTTTCTTGAAGAATAATTAAGAAACTAAGAATCTAAGGAAAACTTTTTTTTTTTTTCTTTTTTTGTTCTTTATGATATTCATCATCATTGATTTACGTATATTATATGCGAACGTTTCTTCTTATTCCATCTTTCCCTTTTTCTCTCTCATTTTAATTTTCTCATTTAATTCTTCATATTCTATTATCAGAAGTAGATATTTTCTTTTTTTTTGTTTTTTTTTTTTAGGATGCATAATCACGTAGACCACCACCACCAAAGTAATTAATCAATACACATTTGTTCTTATTTTACAAAATAATTTTCATTTATTATTTCTGATTATACTTATTATTATTATTATATATATATATATATTTTGGTATTATTTTGCAAACAATTATTCGTATTTTGTTTCAATGCATTTTAATATTATATTCATCTCAGTCCATCGAATGAATTCATTCCTATAATAATAATATATTTGAATAATAATAATAATAATAATAATAATAATAATATATATTGTGATGATACAAATAGGTTTATTTTTTTTTTTTTTATACGCGAAATTTAATTTTCGTGCGATACCAAATTCGAATCCTTTTTTTTTTCTTTTTTTGAGCGAGAGTGTATAAAATTTGTTTAAAAAAAAGAAGCAAAATTGTTTTATTCTCCTTTTTTCAAGGATTTCGGATTTTAAAATTCGACCTCCTACAAATTTTTCTCAATCGGTATTTTTTTCTTTTTTTTTTTGTCCGAGTACGATTAATTTCCAAGTTAATTTCGATTCGTTGAAAAAAAAAAAAAAAACAAACAGATCAAATTTTAAATCAATGGGAGAAATAATTTTCGCAACGTTTACATAACAATTCTTTAATTCGTCAAATTACAATATTATTTTATTTTACAAACAAATCAACAATATTTAAATTCTCGAATTTCGTATT